GCTGATTTGCGCTACGCTACCATACCATGAAAAACGTTGCTCGATTTTATTACAAACTCTATGGCTTTAGGCCTTGTATATATCTCTTGAAATATCTCTTTTATTGAAAGCAAATTGGTGTATAATAATAATATTTGAACTGTAACCATATGCCTTTGTTGTTAATTTCGAAGGACCGGGATATACTTTCCCTGTTTCAACATCATATTCCCACGTCGCGTCCGGGGTCGTGCGCCGACGCGGCGACCTCGCGCGTTACAATATATATATATCTGTTTTTAATAATGATTTTTTGAGGGGGAACTATGCCAGTCGCCTTGTCCATCAGTGACTCTTAATTATCTACCGTCTACATTAGTACGTTATAAATGGAACAAGTTACTGTCTAGATTATACTTTATAGGACTTAAAATTTTTCAGCCTACGGCACTGTTTTAGTTTTAAAAAATTGGAAGTCCTTGACCTCAAAAAGGAAGGTCAGGACACGTCGTTCACACAGTCCAAAAGGGGAAAATCTAATCATACTGTTTTTGTTTTCATCACAACGTCCCACAGGGTCCAGCCTGCTTCGTCATTTTAAAATTGTTTCGCAGCTGTAAGACATATTTAATGTTTCGTCCTTTCTGGCATCATGTTTATCTATATTAACTCAAATGGGGCAGACACGTACTAGTTCATTTTCACCGATGATTTATGTATACAAGACGATTGTATTTCAGGACGGAAAGAGTTTTATTGATTTGTTGATAACGTTGGACTTTAAGGTTATCAGAACACAAGATATGCCAATAAGTACACTTATGCATGGAGTGGTGGCACCAGTCACCTGATATTCAAAACAATTATATTTATGAATTACCAATTAATAATGAACAATTATTAAACCTTATGATAAGCCAATATGAAATTTTAAGTGGGTATATAGTCACTATAGTTAAATACATCCATGCAAGAGATGCCCCTTCTCCCCACCTGCAACTATGTTGCATTTACTTATGATGATCCAACTGGTCTGCATATTAAATACGGCCGACCCAACTTGAAAGCGATGTCGCATAATCCCCTCATGGTCTCCCCGCCTACTGCACGCGCCATGTCTTGTAATTTAATCCGAATTGAAACGGTCGCCTAGATTGGATTGCCAGGCCCCTGCAATGTATGGCACGTATGAAAGGCAGTTTAAATCTTCTTGACATCTGTACCTGTCCGTGCAGATGACGTCTCTGTCTCTCTCTTTATCTATTTATTTATTTATTCATAATTTTTCGTGGGGTGTATCACTTTCGAAAGCTTTTTTCTTTGTTTAATAAAGAACAATTCTTTCAAGTAATGTTTTGCAACTATACACAGGGAATGTTTATCTTTTGATTGATTTCTATAGAAGTACGACCCACTTATACAGTGTATGTGCTCACCTCCAAATAAAAGTTTATTCTTTTAATTTTTTCTTTCTTCCTACCTATTTTATTCTTTATTTATCTCTTTATGCTTTGCCGTATTGTAATGGTAACCATGAAATAATTTAGTCAAATTCTCTTTCATATACATTTAAACCACAGATAACGATTCACCTGTCTGAGTAGAACTTTTTCCACCTTGACTTCAGGTTAGAAATGGCTTCCTCTACCAGTTACCTATCGACAGCGCCACGTACCCCAGTCAGGTCCAAAGTCGTACCTTTGATAGAAGTGTCGGGAGACTTCCCAAATATCTTGGATGATTTTACAAACAGTGGACCACATGGCAGGCCGTGGCCGATGGGTAAAACTCATCTTATTGTGCATTTTCCCGAAAACGCCGAACTTCCAGATATGTACACCTGCAGTACACCCGTTGACCCGTATACCTACAACACACCCGGTGTCCACGCCGAAATGAATGCGATACCTTACCTAGAAAACCTACATGTGAAAAAAGTCGTCATGTACCTGAATTGGTCCCCATGCAGTGGTTGCAGCGGCAAGTTAAAAAAATTGGTAGAGACAAAAAGAAGTGACCCGGATTTTTTTCTGGAGATCGTCTTTAGGGGCGTGTACAAAATTAGAAAAGAATCTTGTACACAAAAATGCAATTGTCAAACTGCTCAAGGCAATCCCGAAGGACTGTACAACCTCAGCCTATTGGAACCTTTCTGCATTTTGCGTAGTTTTAATAGGAAGGATTGGCAAGATCTTGAACGATTGCTCGATAAAAAGGACCCCAACAAAGCTTTTGAAGAGTTGAGTATTCACGATCAACCGACAAATGATGAAATGGACGTAGAAATTGCTACTGATTTTGTGGCGATTTTGAGGAATCAATATAAAGGGTAAGTATTTACAAACCATGTTTTATGTATTCATATCAACATATGCCCTGGCATATGTAAACTGGAAGAGAACTTATTGTTTGTCGTCATGTGATGATAGCCAATTAAGGTAGTCCTCTCATATNTTTAGACAACTACGAAATGTAAACAAACTGTACATCTTTAGAACTTTTTAATAAAAAAACTCCACGTGTGCCATTTCTTATCCAATATGGCGGATCTACTTGACGACGATGTGGCGTCCGCGAGAATGCACGAGAAATCACGCTATTCGCTAAACACGGGTTAGGTACAATGGGGATTAAAATTAAGCCCGGCTATCAAAACAACTTAAGGGGAACAATAGAGCAATGTTTACCCGTACGAACGTCTGGTCAAAGGGAAAATGCCGCTGTCCAATCTTTCTGTTTATTAGATCTTAGCTTCAGGTGAGCAATAACTTACTTTACCACTAACAAAGAGACAGGTACAACAGTCATGGCTGGAGTCGTACCTTTGTCAGAAGTGGCGCATGAGTTCCATGAAGACTATGAAGACAGTTATCTAAGCAACGGGCATAACCCCCCAAGCCGTGTTCATCTTATTCTGCATATTCCCCAAAACGGTGATCTTATGTACGTCCGCAATACTCCTCAAGGAGAGCACGCCGAAGTTAGAGCGAGAGCTTACCTACAACATGTAAAGAACCAAGGTGTCACAAGAGTCGTCATGTACCTGAATTGGTCCCCATGCCGTGATTGCAGCCCCATGTTGGCACAGTTAAGTGGCCCGGAGTTTTCGCTGGAGATCGTGTATCGTGGCCTGTACTACGGTGGTGAGGGTCTGGATGTCCTCCGTCAATTGGAACCTAGCACTGTGCGTCAGTTTGGTGAGGAGGATTGGGAATTCCTGAGACAACAGCTTCAAATTGCTTAAGATTGTTAGTGGATTTCATAGGAACAAGATCAACGGTTGGCAATTTTATACAATGCTCTTATTGATTGATATCCGCAGAAATGTTTAATGATTTTAAATTATAGGATGGACAAAATAATTGCTGATGATTTTAGATGGAATATGTGTCACCATCAGTATCTGTGGCCAGAAAGCAACGTCATGATAACGCTCTGCAGACATATTTTTTTTCAAAAAGACAACGAAGTATGTTAACAACTTAATGTTACCATGTTAACAATTTTAATTAGTGCATGTATCTAAATGTTAATGAAATGATTTATTCATTATTTTTACTTGTGCGGTATTGGACATAGGATAAGGAGGTTAACATTTTCGTCGTGGAGGGAATAGCGTTTATATATATATATATATATATATATATATATATATATATATATATATGATACCATATTTAATTATATCATAATTAATAACACCATGTATTTATCTAGTAATTTTAAAGGATTTTTATTGGCATGATATGTTGAATTTTTTGTAAATATATCTTATACGTTTCTTATTGAATTGCTGTGATTATATTCGACATATATAAATTATATAAATCATATATAAATTATTATTTTGATAGGAATGTGATAATTTTATTATCTTTATTTTTATTATTATTGTTGTTGTTGTTGTTGTTGTTGTTATTATGTTGAATGCACTGGATATTAAAAAGGTAATCGCTGTGCATTATCTAATCGTCATCGTCTGCATAATCTTGTTTAACGTAAAAACACGTATCAATGAAATTTTCTACATATTTTAAATAAGGATTCACATTTCATTGTGTATGCTGATTTTGCTTATAATGCGAATAATAAGTGTATATAACGAAATAACTTTTATTGTGTATCATTTATTCTTTATTGACAGGAGTATAAAACGCAAAGTATCATTTTCTCCTTCCGATTGATATTGAATTAATATGTCAACCGCTATTCCACCCTGTCAGACGGTGAGAATGAAAGTATTCGGGTAAAAGTAAAGACATTGTCAGCGCTTCAAAAACCGTTCTCGCAAAAGGCGCTATAAGGTGCTCATTCACGTCGACACCATCGATCTATGTAAATCGATCCGACTCTGGGGGAGTGCATTCAGTAAATCAGATAATCTCTAGCTTTTTGTATTCTACTCAACGTCTGTTAACCCCGCGTTCACCTGTTAAACTGATTGCATTCAGGGAAAGTCCTCGCAGGGTTGGGTCGAGCTACGTAGACCGATATTGTCTATGGGAATGGACCCTTTGAAAGCTGGAAATATATTTTAATGACCCTTAGGAAAGTTGTTTTATCAAGAGAATAGGACGTCCCATAGGACCTTTTCTTTTATTGTACGTACAAGTAACAGTTACAGGGAGGTGCACAGCAACAAACAGATAAAGGTGATGACACTTTGCCCGAATTCACTGTCTGTCCACAAAAAGTAGTGCCCCACTGACAGGATCATGGTGCCCCTGTCAAGCATATTTAACGTGTGCGTTAAAAAAATCAATTGCGCCTGGTGTGCGCCACTTAATACACCTAACACACCACAGTCCTGTATGCTTTCAGATAGAATTTTTTTCATGCAAAAGATGTCACACAATTCAAATGACGTGGCTGCTTCCGGTTTTGGTACATTTTTATTTAGCCTAAGGGGCTCTGTTATCTGGAAATGTTTAATAAGTGGCTCCGCATTCGGCGAAATAAACTTGATAGTGCTCCGTGTGTTATTGTTTCACTGTAAGATCTGCCACCCAGACAGCTATACATATTGCAGAGGGGAGAGGTGGGGTATGCAGTCATGTGGAAAGGAAAACACCTGCCGCAGTGGGACGGATGAAAGCAACTCGATCGTACCAGCTAAAACTTACGAAAGCGAAAGTTAACCAGGAAGTGACTCGTTGCAAAAGCTAACCAAGAAGTGTCTCCATATTAAAAAAGACGGCTCTCACAATTTTCATGTAAGTCTTTCTCCCTCTTTTTCTCTCTTTCTCTCAGATCCCCTCTAACACAGAATGTTCTAAAATAAGGTCATTCTCAGTATGAAAACGTGTGGACCGCCGTGGTGAGTTCAAACAGATAAGATCAGATAAATGAATTTTGTCTCTGTGTATGGATCGCCTTAAAAATAATACAAAGTACTTTATCATCAATCCTCTGCTTCACTGGCAGCTAGTGCAATCTTTTCAGCATGGGAGTGATATTGGTGTGTAACTTTATTTGACAAACCAGTCTTGCAGCTGAGTTTTGAATAACTTGTAATTTTTTAACCTTATAGTCACATATACCAAAGAGGAGACTATTGCAGTAATCTAATCTTGATGATATAAATGCATGTACTAATTTTTCAGTGGTTTGGTTATTTTTAAAACACTCTCCTTATTTTCCCAATGCGTCATAGTGCATAAGATGCTGATTTACACACTCCAGATACACGCTTCTCCATAGTGCTATTTTCATCGAGGGTAAATCCCAGATCTTTTACAGAACTAGATGGTTTTGTAAGAAGATCTCCTATCCAAATGTTGGCGTTTGCTGCATTTTTCCCATTTGCCTTGAACCTTGATGTAAACCGCATCAACTCAGTCTTAGACCCCATTCCCACAGATTTAAGATCGATCTATCCCTGTAGGGAGTCTCACTAGATTACTGTCATCTTAGCCGGCTTAAGCGTCTGTCCCGCCTACTAAAAGTTATAAGGGGGTAATTAACTATGCTGTGCGCTCGGCTGACTGCAATTTAGCGTGAACCCCCATGGAGTTAGGTCGATCTAAATCTAAATCTCTGGATTGATCTAAATCTCTGGGAATGCACCCTTAGTATCATTTAAAGCCAACATGTTCACTTTCATCCATACGATAACATACATCGGGTATGACAACATACAGGGGGAACTATGCCTGTCGCCTTGTCCATCAGTGACTCTTAATTTTCCTTCGTCTACATTAGTACGTTATAAGTGGAACAAGTTACTGTCCAGATTATACTTTATAGGACTTAAATTTTTTTCAGCCTACGGCACTGTTTTAGTGTTAAATAATTGGAAGTCCTTGACCTCAAATAGGAAGGTCAGGACACGTCGTTCACACAGTCCAAAAGGGGAAAAATCTAATCATACTGTTTTTTTTTACCATAACGTCCCAGGGTCCAGTCTGCTTCTTCATTTTAAATTTGTTTCGCAGCTGTAAGATAAAAATGTCGATATTTAATCCTTTGTCCTTTCTGGCATCATGTTTATCTTTATTAACTTAAATGGGGCAGACACGTACTAGTTCATTTTCCCCGATGATACAAGACGATTGTATTTCAGGACGGATAGAGTGTTATTGATTCGTTGATAACGTTGAACTTTAAGGTTATCAGAACACATGATATGCCAATAAGTACACTTATGCATGGAGTGGTGGCACCAGTCACCTGATATTCAAAACAATTATATTTATGAACTACCAATTAATTATGAACAATTATTAAACGATAAGCCGATTTAAAATAAAAAACGTTAAAAGTTAAAGCTAAAGTTTTAAAAGTTTTGATTAAGTCACTAGTTAAATACATCCATGCAAGAGATGCCCTTTCTCCCCACTTGCAACTAGGTTGCATTTACTTATGATGATCCTCGGACCAAATGCAGATCAAATACGGCCGACCCAACTTGAAAGCGATGTCGCTTAATCCCCTTATGGTCTACCCGCCTACCGCATGCGCCATCCCTGCAGATGTCTTGTAATTTAATCTGAATTGAAACGGTCGCCTAGATTGGATTGCCAGGCCCCTGCAATGTATGGCACGAATGAAAGGCAGTTTAAATCTTCTTGACATCTGTACCTGTCCGTGCAGATGACGTCTCTGTCTCTCTCTTTATCTATTTATTTATTTATTCATTATTTTTCGTGGGGTGTATCACTGTTGAAAGCTTTTTTTCTTTGTTTAATAGAGAACAATTCTTTCAAGTAATGTTTTGCAACTATACACAGGGGATGTTTATCTTTTGATTGCTTTCTATAGAAGTTTATTCTTTTAATTTTTTCTTTTTTCCTGACTATTTTATTCTTTATTTATCTCTTTATGCTATGCCGTATTGTAATGGTAACCATGAAATAATTTAGTCAAATTCTCTTTCATATACATTTAAACCACAGATAACGATTCACCTATCTGAACAGGACTTTTCCCCCTTAACTTCAGGTGAGAAATGGCTCACTCTACCAGTTACCTATCGACAGCGCCTCGTACACCAGCCATATCTAAAGTCGTACCTTTGACAGAAGTGTCGGGAGACTTCCCAAATATCTTGGATGATTTTACAAACAGTGGACCACATGGCAGGCCGTGGCCAATGGGTAGAACTCATCTTATTGTGCATTTTCCCGAAAACGCCGAACTTCCAGATATGTACACCTGCAGTACACCCGTTGACCCGTATACCTCCAACACAACCGGTGTCCACGCCGAAATGAATGCGATACCTTACCTAGAGAACCTACATGTGAAAAGAGTCGTCATGTACCTGAATTGGTCCCCATGCAGTGGTTGCAGCGGCGAGATAAAAAAATTGGTAGAGACAAAAAGAAGTGACCCGGATTTTTTTCTGGAGATCGTCTTTAGGGGCGTGTACAAAATTAGAAAAGAATCTTGTACACAAAAATGCAATTGTCGAACGGCTCCAGGCAATCCCGAAGGACTGTACAACCTCAGCCTATTGGAACCTTTTTGCACTTTGCGTAGTTTTAATAGGAAGGATTGGCAAGATCTTGAACGATTGCTCGATAAAAGGGATCCCAACATAGCTTTTGAAGAGTTGAGTATTCACGATCAACCGACAAATGATGAAATGGACGTAGAAGTTGCTACTGATTTAGTAGCGATTTTGAGGAATCAATATAAAGGGTAAGTATTTACAAACCATGTTTTATGTATTCATATCTACATATGCCCTGGCACATGTAAACTGGAAGAGAACTTATTGCTTGTCGTCATGTGATGATAGCCAATTAATAGTATGCTTTTAAAAAATAGTTTGCAGTTACGTAAAGTGCAGATATATTTTATCTGTCTACGCAGATTCTTTCTTTCATCAGTTACATAGCAAGACCTCCTACACAATACGGGTCTCTTGTACCCTTGAAATACATGACGGGGGACATTGAAGGTATCCTTGATGACTTTAGAAGCAGTGGACCTCATTTTTATCCGAATTCAGTACCTAGAACTCATCTTATTCTGCATTTTCGCAAAGACGACCTTCAAAGTATGCATACATGTACCTCCTCTGGGTTTGATGAAATGCATGCCGAAAACCATGCAATAAGTTACCTACAAAAGCGCCAAAAAACCGGGAGAATCGTCATGTACTTGAACTGGGCCCCGTGCCATGATTGCAGCAATGCTTTAATCGCTTTGATACAGGAGAAGGAAACTGTGCCGGATTTTTTTCTAGAGATCGTCTTTAGGGGCATACGCTATAACAGAAGACCATCATGCACGGTGCATTGCGGTTGCGTCGATGAGAGCCCCGAAGGACTGCGTGCCCTTAGTCGTATGGAACCTTATTGCACTGTGCGAAGTTTTAATAGGCAGGATTGGAAGAATCTTGAAGGATTGTTTGACAATATCGAGCGATGGCATAGGGATTCCATCGATGGCGACATTGCTGATGATTTTAGGTGGATGCAGTATCAGTAATCACAGTGGGTATTTACAAACCATGCTGGTTGTATTGATATGTACATGCAGTTTGACTGTTGTGGTGTAAAAATTGATGATTATGCGTAAATTAACCGAAAGAAAACGCATTTAAAGAACATCTGACGTAACAACACAATCATTTGTCACATGATAAAGATGGTGACTTCTTTTGAAATCTAAGGGTAACACCTAACATGAACTTGCATGAAGCCATTTTTTATGAAAGAAAGAGATAAAATCATTATATATATATATATATATATATATATATATATATATATAGAGAGAGAGAGAGAGAGAGAGAGAGAGAGAGAGAATTTAATCATATCTAAATGTACAATATAAACAAAGAGAGAGAGAGAATTTAATCATATCTTAATTTACAATATAAACAAAGAGAGAGAGAGAATTTAATCATATCTAAATGTACAATATAAACAAAGAGAGAGAGAAATTTAATCATATCTAAATGTACAATATAAACAATTTACAAACCTCGTTCATATAAATGACAACTAGATGACTGTAAAGGCTGTTAAGATTTATATCTATTTTATGCATATATATCATATTAACAAATCAAATTATTGTATCTATCTAAATTGTATTTTAATGATCTGTTCATTACTTTTTTGACAGGAATGCGATGATTTAAATGTTAAGTATTATTATTAGAATGATGAATGAACTGGGTATTTAAAGGTAATCGCTGTGCATAATTGCTGTGTCTAATTGCTGTCACGTGATGTGTCTAATTGCTGTGTCTAATTGCTGTCACATGATGTGTCTTATTGCTGTGTCTAATTGTAATTGTCTGCATTATCGTGCTAGCGTAAAAATACGTTCCAATGATATTTCTTAATATTTTTTAAATAAGGATTCGCATTTCATTGTGTATGCTGATTTTGATTATTATCAGAATTATAAATGTATAATACGGAATAACTTTGTGTATCATTTTTTTTTGTATTGGCAGGATTAAAGAATGAAAGGCAAAATGTTATTTTCTCTTTCCGCTTGATATTGAATTAATATTTCAACCGCTATTCCACCCTGTCAGTCAGTGAGAATGAAGGTATTGGGGTAGAAGTAAAGACATTGTCAGCGTTTCAAAAACTGTTCTCGCAAAAGACGTTATAAGGGCTCTTTCTCGTAGACACCATCGAGGGGCGGTTCTAGAGATATTTTCTGACAGTCTCCCAAATCATCTTTGTTGATCCATCCTCCATTTTGACCGTCTTCTGACAGAAAACATACGATACACGTCAACGTTAACTTGAAAATCTGACCGTCTTCCGGAAGACCCAGAAGACGGCCTAATCCGCCCCTGGCATCGCCAGGATCATAGTGCCCCACTGACAGGATCATAGTGCCCCACTGACAGGATCATAGTGCCCCACTGACAGGATCATAGTGCCCCTGTTAAAAAATCAATTGCATCTGGTGTGCGCCACTTAATACACCTAACACACCACAGTCCTGTATGCTTTCAGACAGCACATTTTTATGTACAGACACAGATGTGTCTGTACATATTGCCATCACCTGCGTCTGTCGTCGCCGATGGCGATGCCGATGGCGATGCCGGCGCCGTGCACTTTCCTTGTAAACACGATAAGTGGAGGGCAGTTTTACTTTTTGGCTTTATATTCACAGAGCTGATGAATNAGAGCGTCCTTAATAGTATGCTTTTTAAAAATAGTTTGCAGTTACGTAAACTGTAGTTATATTCTATCTGTCTAAGCAGATTCTTTCTTTCATCAGTTACATAGCAAGACCACCTACACAATACGGGGCTCTTGTGCCCTTGAAATACAAGACAGGAGACTTCGAAGGTATCCTTGATGACTTTGGAAGCAGTGGGCCGCATTTCTATCCGAATTCAAAACCTACAACTCATCTTATTCTGCATTTTCCCAAAGACGACCTTCAAAGTATGTATACCTCCTCTGGCTTTAATGAAACGCATGCCGAAAAGTATGCGATAAGTTACCTACGAAATAGCCCAAAAGCCGGGAGAATCGTCATGTACTTGAACTGGGCCCCCTGCGACGGTTGCAGCAATGCTTTAATCGATTTGATAAAGCAGAAGAAGGAAAATGAGCCGGATTTTTTTCTAGAGATCGTCTTTAGAGGCATATGCTATAACGGAAGACCATCGTGCACGGTGCATTGCGGTTGCTTCGATGAGAGTCCTCTAGGACTGCGTGCCCTTAGTCGTATGGAACCTTATTGCACTGTGCGTAATTTTAATAGGCAGGATTGGAAGGATCTTGAAAGATTGTTTGACAATATCGAGCGATGGCATAGGGATTCGATCGATGGCGACATTGCTGATGATTTTAGGTGGATGCAGTATCAGTAATCACAGTGGGTATTAACAAACCATACTGACCTTGACTGTTGTGGTGTAAAAATTGATGGTTATGCTTAAATTAACTGAAAGAAAACGTATTTAAAGAACATCTGACTTAACAACACAATCATTTGTCACATAGTATAGATGGTGACTTCTTTTGAAATCTAAAGGTAACACCTAACATGAACTTGCATGAAGCCATTTTTTATGAAAGAAAGAGATAAAATCTTTTATATATATATATATATATATATATATATATATATATATATAGAGAGAGAGAGAGAGAGAGAGAGAGAGAGAGAGAGAATTTAATCATATCTAAATGTACAATAATATAAACAAAGAGAGAGAAAATTTAATCATATCTAAATGTACAATATAAACAATTTACAAACCTCGTTCATATAAATGACAACTAGATAACTGTAAAGGCTGTTAAGGTTTATATCTATTTTATGCATATATATCATATTAAAAAATCAAATTATTGCATCTATCTAAGTTATATTTTAATGATCTGTTCATTACTTTTTTGATAGGAATGCGATGATTTCAATGTTAAGTATTATTATTAGAATGATGAATGAACTGGGTATTTAAAGGTAATCGCTGTGCATAATTGCTGTGCATAATTGCTGTGTCTAATTGCTGTCACGTGATGTGTCTAATTGCTGTCACATAATGTGTCTAATTGCTGTGTCTAATTGCTGTCACATGATGTGTCTAATTGCTGTGCCTAATTGCTGTCACATGATGTGTCTAATTGTAATTGTCTGCATTATCGTGCTAGCGTAAAAATACGTTCCAATTTCTTAATATTTTTTAAATAAGGAGTCACATTTCATTGTGTATGCTGATTTTGATTATTATCAGAATAATGAATGTACAATACGGGATAACTCTGTGTATCATTTTATTCTGTATTGGCAGGATTAAAGAATGAAACTCAAAATGTAATTTTCTCTTTCCGCTTGATATTGAATTAATATTTCAACCGCTATTCCACCCTGTCAGACAGTGTGAATGAAAGAATTGAGGTGGCAGTAAAGACATTGTCAGCGTTTCAAAAGGCGTTATAAGGGCTCTTTCTCGTAGACACCACCGAGGGGCGGTTCTAGAGATATTTTCTGACAGTCTCCCAAATCATCTTTGTTGATCCATCCTCCATTTTGACCGTCTTCTGACAGAAAACATACGATACACGTCAACGTTAACTTGAAAATCTGACCGTCTTCCGGAAGACCCAGAAGACGGCCTTAATCCGCCCCTGGCATCGCCAGGATCATAGTGCCCCACTGACAGGATCATGGTGCCCCACTGACAGGATCATGGTGCCCCACTGACAGGATCATAGTGCCCCACTGACAGGATCATGGTGCCCCACTGACAGGATCATGGTGCCCCACTGACAGGATCATAGTGCCCCACTGACAGGATCATGGTGCCCCTGTTAAAAAATCAATTGCATCTGGTGTGCGCCACTTAATACACCTAACACACCACAGTCCTGTATGCTTTCAGACAGCACATTT